CATAGGATACCAAGGCCGGGTACGTTCTCGGGTTTCTCCCGGGAGTACCCAGGGAGACATAGACCCTAGCAGCCTTACTAATAGCAGCCCACTTCTCCTTGCTGAAAAGCAACCACTAAATAAAAGGTCCCAATTTAATTTTAAATATGCTACTTTTATAATGTGGATTTTGCTGCTAAAAAATACGTATGAGTAAAGATTGGGGTTCATAGATGCAAATTTTACTTTATATTAGTATAAAAATTACCAAGCGTTTTGAAAACAAAATGTCATGCTATAATAACATGCTGAAGGGGATATATATTTTGTGGGATACTAGAAAGCGTTATGCCTTTCCAAACGATAAAAGGCATTATATTTGGCTGTCAGACTTATTAGAAACTCATACACTCCATAAATCATTTACTTCATACAGCTATTTACCAGCCATGATTACTTGGGCTCGTAGGGTCTATGTCCCCCTGACCTCTGTTTGACCTGGCTCGTTTAGCTATTTCTGACTAACCCTAACCCTAAACCCTAACCCAGGCCGTAGCCAGGGGCGGCGGTTCGAGGGGTTCGCACAACCCCCCCCCCCCCGAGAAAAGAAAAATCCCCATTTGAAAATTTGCAAGAATTTTACCTCAGGTACTCGCGCTTCGCCACTTTTGTGTCAAATAATTGCAAAATCTCCATCGTGTGGGAGGGGGCACCCTCCCCTCCTGCTCGCGTCGCTTAATGCTCCCGTCGCTCGGTCGCTGTCGCCGAGCCCTCACACAGATTGCCACACATGTTAAAAAACGAACGCCCCCATATTAAAGCGTTGGCTAGCGGGCCTGAACCCCTACTTATATTATATATTATAGTATGACCTATATATATATATATATTATATATATATATATATATATAGGTATATATATGTTTGGTCAGAAATGCGCTAAACGAGCCGAGGCGTCAAACAGAGGTGCAGGGGGACATAGATTCGACCTTATCTGCATTACTTGGATGGCACTTTGGTATAATAGTCTTGTTGATCAGGTCATACCAACTGAGATTTCCAACCATCCATTTATACTTTGCCATTTTTGCGCAAACGGTACATGGCATGTCTGTTGCGTGTGCACTTCTCTAACTTCTGCCACGGCTACTCATGCTTAAAGGCTACTAGGCCATTGTGATTATGGCGAATGGTTGACGATGCCCTAGAGTAGAGTGGCCACCGTGTAGTTAATCAGTACATAACCTTACATCCAAACGCGGTATTAGTTTTGTCAATATCACTGCCGTGTTACTAAAGAAATGTGCTGGATTGCAAATCCGGCAGTCCAAGGGGAAATCAGCTTGTTTACAGTTTCAAACCGCTGCCGGTGAGAGCGGTTGTATTACAGATTTTATAGATGCAGCCGGACATTTTCACACGGGGCATGCTCGGTCCGTCACGCATATGCTGATCTATCGAGTGGATTTCGTAAACACTGGGACGCTCGCTGATAAGGAACTTTTTGTCGTATGGGCTGTCCGTATGTGCTGGTCCGTGATTGTGCCGTGGTGTTTTACTCCATTTCCGATGTTTAGTCCGTGGCCTGTGGTCTAAACCGCTGACACCTCCATTTCATCTGGCGATCCAAAACATACCGAGTCCTCCGGCCAACCCAAATGTGTTACGTTTCGCCCTTGACTCCGCTCCTGGATGAGATCATTGTACGGCACGTGAAATATATCTCAACAACCGGATTTATGTCTTGCTGTTGCTAATGTAAGCCAGCGTGATTATTGGACAAACTAATTACGTGGTTTGGCTTAGTAGGGTTACTGTTAGCTTATTACACTACACCAACGTGCCAGTTACTCTAGCATTCGCGCGTGATACTCAACATTGCATAATGCTACAATAATAGGAAGGGACAGCTCATCTTCGTAACTACTACAATCCTCTACTCTGCGTGAATGTTTAGCGTTGTCGGGGGGATGCGACGAGTATCAGTAGAGTTTAATTTCTACTACGTAAAGCTCTGTATGCCCATTTCTTATCCTCGTATGGTGTAACGAAGTACATCTAAATTTAGCTATGTCTAGCTATGCACGTCAGGAATTACAACGACAAGAAAACCACTAATGCTGGTAACGTATAACACATCACGTGTGTTTTGTACAAAGGATGTCAACAAATTCTTACACTATAATGCTAGCAGGGCGAGAGCATGACGAGAATCGAAGTATAATCTTGACCCAATGTCGTTCAATTTAGTTGATCATAACATCAAATAGAACCTTTCGGGAATTCCAGCCATCTTTGTAATTGTAATTGTTGGGAAATTACTATATGTATGTCTGATTACGTTTACAGACAATAGAAGATAATTTTTTTTTTGCTCAACTGAATAATAGTGTGATTTACTCAGTGGGTCATTATCTCATCATGTGCTGATATATGCACACTTGCATAATTTAATTGAAAAGGGTCAGAGGCCAGGCGTTAACAATGACAGCTAATTTTATACTCTCTTAAAAATCAGGTATTCTATTTCCCCTCAAAGGAGCAACATGAACGATGCAGCTAGCATAGCGAGTACTATATTACATGTATCCTGCAAACATGCCATACTGAAAGATGCTGGATTATGCTACAGCGTTAAAACAATGGTTGCTATATTGCAACATCGCCAAATGACAGACAAACATTTAAGAGAGTGATGGTATATGGTGATTCTTAACGGCATAATTAGCTACATATAAATCTGAGACTGATATTATACCTTAAATCTGAATGTCAAGGGATAAACTTCCTTCCAGTTCTTAGATAGTTTTAAAATATTATTGTCTTATTCCAGGCAATGGTTTCAGTTTCGTTTTTTTCGTGTCTACTTGGTACAGTATTGCCACCTTGGTGGTCTGAGAGTTATGTGAGCCGTTGATCACTGTCAGTGAAGCATTTACTCCTGGAAACAATATTCCAATGACTTCTAGTGTTATAGTCAGTAATTTGCTACTTGAACTTTTTATAGATGGCAATATCAAATTGGATAGCAAGGTTTTAAAACAATTCTACAAAGAATATACAACTCGTTCAAACTTTTGCTTATTACAATATCGTACAAAACCATTACTTTTTTGTTCTGTTGTTGTTTTTTAGCCCATGTCGGTTAGTACTCTTATAAAGATACTAGCAATGGTATGTCCACTAATTACAAAGTGCGTTTGACTGGTTTTAAAAGAGACTCACACGTACCTGTGGGGGGAGGTTCACAAGCTTTCTGTTTTTTAAGTTGTTATTAAGCCCATCTTGCAGTATCTGTGTCTGCTGGAAGCCATCATTTGCAATTGGCCTTTTCTAGAGCCCTGACTGCAATGAACAAGTATCAACATGTGACATGATAAAACAATGGCTATGGAAAAAGGTAGGAAGCATTAAGCTACCGTATTATGACCTTGTGTTTCTGCAAAAAGCGATCTCATGTATCTCTGATATACAAGTGCCGCAGAGGCGACAGCGCTCCACCTGACGGTAGGTGTTCTGATGCACTAAACTCGGCGATCCGGCGGGGGGGGCAACGAATCAAGTGGAGCACCCTCCTGCAGTCGCCGCAGTTTCGCTCTCCACTCGTGTCTCTCATTCCTTCTCCTTTCGCTCTCTCTCCGTGCCTTCGCGCTCTCTCGCCTCTTTGCCTATCTCTTCCCTTCGCGCTCTCTCTCTCGGCGATCCACTCTCTCTCTCTTCTCTCTTTCTGCTCTCTCTCTCTCTCTGCTCTCCTCTTGCTCTCTCTGTCCTTCACGCTCTTCTCTCTCCCTCTCTCTCCGGCGCTCGCTCACACGCACTTCCCTCGATTGTCTCTCTCTTTCTTTTGTCTTTTGTCTTTCTCTCTCTCTCTCGTTTTTCTCTCTCACTCTTGTCGCGCGCTCTCTCTCTCTCTCTTGCTTCTCTCTCTCCTCATCTCTCTCTCTCGCTCTCTCTAATCACTACTCTCTCTCTCTCTCTCTCTCTCTCTCGTCTCTCCTCTCTCTCCTCTCTCTCTCTCTCTCTCCTCTCTTTCAGCTATCTCTCTGCTCTCTTCTTCCTCTCTCTCTCTCTCTCTCTCTCTTCCCTCTCTCTCGCGCTTACTCTCCGTCTCCACCTCTTCACCCTCGCCTCTCTCTCTCCCTCTTTCTCAATTTTCTCTCTTTCTCGGGGCTAAGTCGCTGCCGCAGACGAGGCACTGTACGCACTGATTGTCTATACAGACGGTGCTGATTGTCTATAGTGTCTTCTAACCCTAGCAAGACCGTTTCGTTGGAGCTAGGCAACGCGCGGGAACGTTTTAATATAACTTCACATAAAATGTTTCGATACTATAGTATATGTTAATTCGGTGGTGCACTCCGGCAGCCCTATGTTTTATTTATGTTAACTCGGTTTCCCAAGCACGCGGCCAAGGCGATGGCTAGAAAATTATGAAAAACTTAGCTCTAAAAAGCTGCTTGACAGCAGACAAACTACCTGACAGATCTACTTGTCCTCCGTGCAAATGGACAATGTACGAACAAACGGATAGCCCTTATTTCAAACACTGATGTATGGTATCTAGGAGCCTTCTCGAAGAAATGTCGTGGGATTGTTATGAAGAGTTGCCACGAGATGGCGCGTACGTTGGGTCAGCTGGAAGCCCTCGTCGTAGTATGTAACAACTATTTGCAAGGACAGAATAGGGCGGTGAAGCACTCCTCCATTTACCTTACACAAGCCTACAGGCTGAAATAGAGACAGCTGCCACCTGTACCTAATTACGCAGGCAAAAACTAGTACACCACTACTATCACCATACACTGCAACTGGCCACTCGGGCCGAGTGGCCATGTGGCAGACTGGCATGATTAACACCAACTGTGACAGTCGTACAAGAAAATTGCCATAGAAATGTATACGATTTAAGGGCTATAATACCTTCTTCAGCAATTTTAGCTTTTGAAATTTCACTGTGACATTGGTAGCCTCATACATCCAGGCATGTATTTAGATTTCGACTAGCAAACCCGGCAGTCAAATTCTTTCTAACCAGTAACAGTTAACAAATCCATGTTTAAATCCCTCCTCTGAGGGTCAAAAGGTTAGTCAGACACTTATTCTTCGCACGTCATGTGGAAAGCACATTTCATGGTCCTTTCAATAAAGCCCATAAAAATGCTAGCGTCACCGCTGAAACAAAAAAGTTTTCAATCGCTCCGTCACACCATGTCCTCAGAAAATGTCTAAAATCTGCCTGTGCCCCATTGACCTGTGACCTGCTGACCTCCAATTTCAGCACAGGATGGCTTTTCCTACCATGATGCCTATACACCGACTATCACGAGCTAGATGCGAGCGTTTTTAGATTTTGCTGCCCAATTCTGCATTTCCTCCCTATTACCTAAGTTAAGGAGGGAATGTTCCCGCTTCATTTACACCTCTTGACCTTTGACCTTGACCCCAGCTTCAACATCCCAACTCGTTTTTCGGATTACCCCCCCACGTCCCGACTTTCGAATCCGGTACGTCGAGCCGTTTAGATTGTTGTGCCCAACTGTTTGACGGACGGACGGACGACGCACGCTCATGGCGATTCTACAAGCTGCATCTGACTATGTCAGATGAGCTAAAATGAAGCCAGGCTCCTGAGTATTATACGTACCAGCACAAATTCCACTTTATGAAACTATGAAAAATAGGAGTAGATGTTTGATTACCTGCGACTCTAGCAATTGATTTTGTGACTTGAGTGTGTCTATGTCTTTCTGGTGGACCGCTGTTTCTGCTACGCATTCGGTCTCAATGTATTCTGTAGCTTTGTGAGGATGACAGCTCGTGATGCCTGTTCAACAATTAAATAAACACCTAATTACTAATCAAATTTGTGGTTTTGCTTCTCAATGGTAGCATTAAATTTCGATGCTACTATTGATTACATAAACAGCATAAATACTACCTCCAATGTTGTTGAAATTCTCCGATGTTGTTGACAGTTTGCCCAATTTTCTCACCTCTTTCTTGTGGGTTTTAAGCAAACGCGCAGTGAAATGGGAGCAACTAGAGTTTATTTTGTCATAAGGTAGTGTGATTATGCATGACACGAAGTATTTGCTAGTCTAGTACTGGAGAAATTAGCGTTTGGATGCGCATTGTGAGCCTTTAATGATTAAAAAATTATGAGTTGACGTCCAACTTTCAATAAACTCACAAAAACAGCTGGCTGTCCAGACTAACAGCAATTTAGTAGATGGGTGATGATAACCAGTATGTGAGACATAACACTTGACAATATTTGGGACACATGCTGATAACTTGAGTGTTTAGAACGTAAAAGAACATGAAAGAAAGTAGTGATCTAAGGTAACTATTCATTGATGCATTAACTAAACTGCATGAACATGTACACTACTGTCCAACCTACTTACTTTTGTAGTTTGATATTGCAACTTAGTTTGGGCAAGAAAAGAACCCAGACAATGGAAGGCCCCCACTAGTAGATAAATTACATGTCTACTTTGACATAAAAAAATGTGGTTTACTTTGGCTATACTTTAGGCACAGCACTATTACAGAGATCTGCAGAATTTTTTATATATTTATATTTATAGTCATAGTCATATTTTTATGCTAAGGAAATGCAAATTATCCCCAAAAGGTCATGTTGTAACTTTGAAATTGTTTAAAGGAGCCATGGGATAAATTTTTTACTTACCTTATCACCCTGAATGGCTGGGATAGAATCCCTTAAACCATGGAAGCTGTCTTTGATGTGAACTCTTCTTTTTCGCTCCAGTGCATTATGGTGTGCTCGTTTCACAGCCTACATGCAAATTATGATTTTATATTGATGCATTACCTATTAGATAGAAATTGACATTAAATAGTTCTCATTATATACGTCACAGAACTTAAAGATGATCTTTACATGCAATTTGTGAAGTATTACTACTACTTACCGTTCCCCCTGCCATGTCCTGCATGCCATCATCCCAGCCATCCTCCTGTGAATTACACCAGTTTTGTTTGAATCATTGATTCCTTGCACTAGATTATAGCAGGGATACTACCTAACAGTAACAGGTTACTATAAGAACACCAAAATAACTAGAACCTACTATTTGATAACCTAGTGGCTGAAGCAAATCACTTTCAAGAGCACAAAGAATATTATTCTACATATACAGTTTATGTCATTACAAGACATTCACAATATTTAAATATAAGGAAATGCTTTCTATGTAATACAGAAAATATTGAACTATAGGACCTAACAAACCACGAATACAGCTCTATTTACACACCATGTTGCATATTATTATCATGTTTAGCAGAAATAAAAAGAAATGTAATTGTAAGTTGTTATATCTGCTAATAATTGTTCTAAGAATGCTGTATAAAGAGCTAGGTGATTAGAACGCTGCTCCTTCCTTTACAGAACAATAGCAACATTTAACCATACCATACCCCATCACTGTCCATGTCAAGTTCCTGGTCATCATCACTCATTATGTTGCTTGTTTTGTTTCTTGGCACGTTATTTTATTTCATGAACTTTATTGTAGCCTGTAAATTAATAATATTTGTAATTAATTAACTGTACAGAATATCACATCAGGGGCGGATTCAGCCCGTATTTGCCGTATTGGGAAATACGGTCTAGATTTCAAAGTGCCCTTCGAAATTTTGCGCTAAAAAATACAGAAAACAATAATTTGGCTATATTCTTCATTTGTTTTCTTTTTCTTCTGATGCATTGACAGGACTTGAAGGAAATCAAAATTTTACATGGTAATAAAACTAGCTTTGATATATCTGAAAAAGAAGGGATGTGCTTGAATCATTCTGCATTAATTGCTGGTATGCAAAGCGCAGGCAAAATGAAGCAGAAATAAAATTCCATATGGTTTTTAGCTATTGCTGATAGGGGACATAGATCGACCTTATCTGCATTACTTGGCATGGCATGGTATAAAGTCTGTTGATAGTCATACCAACTGAGATTTCAACATCCATTTTACTTGCCATTTGGAAAATGTACATGGCATGTCTGTGGTGTGCACTTATTAACTATGCACTACTCATCTTAAAGGCATACTAGGCCCATTGATTATGCAATGTTGACGAATGCTAGAGTAACTGGCACCTTGTGTAGTTAATCAGTACATAACCTTACATCCAAACGCGTATTAGTTTGTCCAATATCACTGCTGGTTACTAAGAAATGTCTGATTGAAATCCGCAGTCCAAGAAATCAGTTGTTTACAGTTTCAAACCGCTGCCGGTGAAGCGGGTGTGATACAGATTTATAGTGCACCGGACATTTCCACACGCATGCTCGGCCGTACGCAATGCTATCATCAGTGATTTCGTAAACACGGACGCTCGTGATAAGGAACTTTTTGTCAGGGCTGTCCATGTGCGTCCGTGATTAGTCCGTGTGTTTTACTCCATTTCCATGTTTAGTCCGTGGCCGTAGTTAAACCGCTGACACCTCCATTTCATCTGGCATCCAAAACATACGAGCCGCACAAATGTTTACGTCATCGCTTGACTCCTGAATGACATTTACGGCACGTAAATGAATATCAACAACCGATTTAGTCTTGCTTGTAATGTAACCAGCAGTGATATTGGACAAACTAATACGCGTTTGGCTATAAGGTTATGTACTTATTAACTACACAACGTGCCAGTTACTCTAGCATTCGGGGTGATACTCAACATTGCATAATGTACAATAAAGGAAGGACAGCATCTTCGATAACTACTACAACCTCTACTCTGCTGAATGTTTAGGTGTCGGGTATGGACAGTATCAGTAGAGTTAATATTCTACTACTTAGCTCTGTATGCCATTTCTACCCTCGTATGGTGTAACAAGTACATCTAAATTTACTATTCTAGCTATGACGTCAGGAATTACAACGACAAGAACCACTAATGCTGTAATATAACACATCACTGTTTTTGTACAAAGGAATGTCAACAATTCTCTACACTAATAATGGCAGCAAGGGCGAGAGCATGACAGAATCAAAGTATAACTTGACCCAATGTCGTTCAATTTAGTTATCATAAATCAAATAGAACCTTGGGAATTTCCACCATCTTTGTAATTGTAATTGTTGAGAAATACTATAATGTATGTCTGTTACTTTACAGACAAATAGAAGATAATTTTTTTTTCTCAACTGAATAATAGTGATTTAATCTCATTGGGCATTATCTCATCATGTAGCTTATATATGCACACTTGCATAATTTAATTGAAAGGTCAGAGGCCAGGGAAACAATGACAGTAATTTTATACTCTCTTAAAAATCAGGTATCTATTTCCCTCAAAGGAGCAACATTAACATGCAAGCTAGCATAGCCGAGTACTATATTACATGTATCTGCAAACATGCATACTGAAAGATGCTGGATTATGTACAGGTAAAACAATTGGTTGCTATATTGCAACATCGCAAATGCAGACAAACATTTAAGAGAGTGATGGTATATGGTATCTTAACGGCATATTACCTACATATAAATCTGAGACTGATTTATACCTTAAATTAATTCAAGGGATAAACTTCCTTCCATTCTTAATATTTAAATTATATTGTCTTATTCTCCAGGCAATGGTTTCAGTTTCTTTTTTCGTCTACTGGTACGTATTGCCACCTGGTGGTCTGGAGAGTTATGTGAGCCGTGATCACTGTCAGACACATTTACTCCTGAAAAGATCCAATACATCTAGTGTTATAGTCAGAATTTGCTACTTAAACTTTTTATAGACGCAATATCCAAATTGGAAGCAAGTTAAAACAATTCCTACAAAAATTACAACTCTTAAACGTTTGCTTATTACAATATCGTACAAAACATTAATTTTTTGGTCTGTTGTTTGTTTTTTACCCAGTCTAGTACTCTTTATAAATACTACAATGTATGTCCACTAATACAGGTTTGACTGTGTTAAAAAACTCACACTACCTGGAGGTTCACAAGCTTCTGTTTTTAAGTTTATAAGCCCATCTTCAGTCATCTGTGTCTCTGGGAAGCCATCCATTGCAATTGCCTTTTCTAGAGCCCTGACTGCAATGAACAAGTATCAACATGTGACATGATAAAACAATGGCATGGAAAAGGTAGGAAGATTAAGCTTGTATTAACCTTTGTTCTGGAAAAAGCATCCTCATGATTTCTGATATACAAGTGCCGCAGAGCGACAGCGCTCACCTGACGGTAGGTGTTCTGATGCTAAACTCGGGGGGGGCAAACGAATCAAGAGCACCCTCCCATCGCCGCGTTCGCTCTCCCTCGTTGTCTCTCATTCCTTCTCTTTCGCTCTCTCGCTCTTGCTATCTCTTCCCTTCGCGCTCTCTCGCTCTTGCTATCTCTTCCCTTCGCGCTCTCTCGCTCTTGCTATCTCTTCCCTTCGCGCTCTCTCTCTCGCTCGATCACATACTCTCACATATCTCTCTCCCTCGTTGTCTCTCTCTCTTTCTTTGTCTTTGTCTCTCTTTCTCTCTCTCTCCCTCTCTCTCTCTCGCTCGCTCACACTCACTCTCGCTCGCTCACACTCACTCTCGCTCGCTCACACTCACTCTCCCTAGTTGTCTCTCT